TGATTGCTTTGTTCCTTCATATTCAATGGTGGTCAGTCTCATGTGGTCTGTCCTTTCTTCACGGAAATCCATCTGAGTACTGAAACACGTGTAGGTACGTACCTTGAAATTGAATTTGACAAGAAACCGAAACAAGCAGCAATTAGTACAGTAGTACAAGATCGTTCGTTCGAGTATTTGTTTTCGATACTGCTGTAAGCAGAAAAAGGCATTACAGTAGGAATCACCAACCCAAAAAAAAAAATGAAAAAGAACGGAACAGAGTAGAGCAGAAAAGAGAAGAGCAGACCAAAACAACAACCAGTGCGCCATCACCATTATGGGCCGAAACAGCAAGGACGAGGAAGCAGCCGAGACCAGTGGCGTATCCGACGACGACGACGACGACGACGACGATTGTTTCCGCAACGAACCGTTGGTTTCGGGAAATGGCAGAGAGATCGCTCGCGCAAACAACGTGGGGGACACCCCGATGGCTTCTTCCACCGGTGGGCGCTTTGTTTCCTCCCTCGGATTGGAGAGGGGGACCACGCGTATGCTGAAACGGACGGCGTGTGCGTTCCTGGGACTGGTGGTTTTGTTATTGGGCGTCCGCAACGACCTTTTGTGGGGGAGTGCCTATCGCTCTCCGTTTGCCGCGAACGCGAACACGAACACGAACACCATCGTGAGCCACCTCCGCGGCGACGGGGGCGGAGAGAGCTTCCAGTGGATCGCCTTTGACGCCAGCGGAACCCAGATGGTCTCGTGGTACTCCGTCGAGAATGCCTCGGGACGGAAGGTCCGGCGGTCCATTGAGGACCTCCTCGACGGGAACGGGGAAGGCCGCCCCCCCCCTGGCGTCCTGTTTCTCGGGACGGGAGCCTACAGCCCCCAAGAGCCGGAACAGGAGCAGAGGGAGAACCTCTCCGGGCTCTCTCSGTTAGTCGACGAGCTGCTGGCCCCGCGGCTGGACTGGAGGCTGGTCGCCGAGCGCTTTGATCCCAGTGAGGCCTCGCTCCTCTACGATCCCTCCATGCACCGCAGCAGCAGCAACAGCAACAGCAACAGCAGCAGCAACAACAACAACAACAAAAGCAGCAGCCTCATCGAACCGGCAATCGCCGCGAGGAAAACACTCCTGGACCACCTCCAAACGGCTCCCGGCGTGAAACACGAGGAGGATGCGCTGCGGGACCGCGCGATCCACTACATTCTGGTACGGGCCACCGATCCAAAGATCCGCGCCATGGCAGGGGCCCTGCGGGAGCACCAGTTTCCCTCCACCAGGAAACACGGCGGAACATTCGATTCCTGCGGGGCATGGGAAGACCGGACCCTCGGCCGGGTCTTTGTGGAACACGGGGGCGAAAAAGACTTTCTGGGGGCCTGGACCCGCCAGAACGCCTACGCGATGGTCGGGGCGATCAAAACRGGGGTCCCGCTRGTCCCCGTCCTCCCCTCCGTCTGGGCCAGGGTATACCGGTTCGAGGGCTGCGGGCAGCCGGAAGACACCGGGCACAACGCCTTTGGCTGCGGGTTTTTGCCGGCCTACGGCGGGGAGTGCCTCTCGCGCAGGATCGAGCACGACCTGGAGTGCCTCTCGGCCATGAAGGTGGGCCCGCTACAGGCCATGGCCCTTCCGAGGCACGGGATTCCCTCCTCGGTCTGTGGGRAGGCCAGGGATCAGCTGCCGGCGCCCRAGGTAGGTGCCYCCTTCGACCCCGAGACATACCAGTACGGTGAGGGCCCCCCGGATGCCCTGAGGGAGTGGTGCCCTTCTTGCAACCCCTTTTTCAGATACGAAAGCGAAAGCMAAAACCCCCTTCYCGGTTGGTCGATCGACAGCATCGCCGATCCGGACCTCCCAATGGGCATGGAGGACGTCAGCGCCCTGGGGCGGGCCTTTCCCGAGCTGCTGCCCCTATGGAGGCACTCCGCTAGTGGAGGAGACAGAAGCAGCGACATCAACAGCGACAGCGACGGCCCGAAGACCCTCTGCGCCCTGGAGGTCCCCCCCCTGGTGTGCGGGGACGGCCCAGACCGAAGGGTGTGCTGCTTCGACGAGCTGACGATCCCGAAACGTTTCCTTCCAACCGGAAACGGCGATCCCCTTTCGAAGGAGACAAACCTCCGGGACCCGGCCCTTTCGGCCTTTCTGACGCGCTTTGGGAGGGCCAGCCGCCGCCGGATCGCGGCCCTGCACCGGCCCTGGTGGGAAAGCCTGGACGATGCCTGGAGGGACGCCCTGTCGACCGGGAGCTGCGCCACCCTCCACATCCGCCGGGGGGACAACATTTCTCGGTGCAGGGACGAAGGRWTGACCGAATTTTGCAGCATGGACAAGACCCTCGACGACTACATGGAGCGAGCAGTCCCGATGCTAGAGGCGCTTGGTTCTTCCAAGCACGTCTTTGTCATGACGGACGACCCGGGGGAGGTCACAACGGCCAGACTGGCGCCMTGGAGGGAGAGGGGCTATTCCATCGAGGCCATCTCCGGACACAACMAGTACGACTCGGAGACCTACAGCGACTGGGATCCCTTCCTTGAAAGCCTCCACATCGCCCCGAGCTGCAGGGCACTGGTCGGCCACCATATCAGCACCGTGTCCGACCTGGTCCGCCGCCTCTCGTGCTTCCGCTGGGGGGAGTGCCCCCTCTCCGACATGTTCGAAAAGGAAGGGTGACCGGCGCGCGGAACGACTCTCCATCCATCCAAACAACAAACAAACAAACAAACAAACAAATACATCACTAACTTTGAAAAAGTACGGCAGTTTGTAACCCCTGCAAAAAATGTGCCTTAGAACGATTATTCGGGCTTCCGAGCGAGCGACCCGGACTCTTGTGCGAAGCGAAGCAAAGCGGAACACAACGCAGTGAATCGGACCGGTCGTTTTTGTGGCGTGTGTGTTGTTTTGTTTTGTTTTGTTTTGTGCTGTGCTGTGTTGTGCTGTGCTGTGCTGTGCTGTGTTGAGTTCCTCGTTCGGCAGCTGCGCACCGGCGTTCGATCGGACCCCGGCGACCTCCACTGTCACCGCCCGCGGCGCCGGGAAGGAGCACACCTCCCCAGGCCCACCAGGGCGCACGTCTCGGGGCAGAAGTCCCAGACCTTGGTGCCATCCTGTTGCTTCCGGCAACGCTTCTTGATGCGGTGCTTGACCTTGGGCCTGGGGAGTTTGTGCTTCCCCTTGCCGGCCCACCGGTCGCAGGTCAGCTTCTCCTTGTTTCTCCACTCGAAACGGGGGTCGTTCGAGCAGTCATCCCCCGAGGTGGGTGCCGTGGTCGAGGATCCAGTCGTCGGGTATCCAGTCGTTGGAGTYCCCGTCGYTGGAGTTCCCGTCGTTGGAGTTCCCGTCGTTGGAGWTCCCGTCGTTGGAGWTCCCGTCGTYGGAGATCCCGTCGGGAAGGCCGTGGGGAATTGGRGCACCTTGTCTTTCACGCAAAACCGGACCKTTTCGTTACTCCCAAAGTCACCCCCCTCAAAGATTTTCTGCTCGTCRAGAAGGCCCCTGTAGTATCCGTCTCCGTTGTCGCAGCACATTCCATCGCCAAAGCTGTCGAAGATCTGAAATTCGTAACACCCACCGACTTCCAAACAAATCGAGCCTTCCTCCGGAACGGTGTATTTTTGGTGGCTGTCGTAAGCTTCCGTGCTTTTTTCCAACACCTGTCCCGAATTTCTCTCCCGGAGCTCCCAGGTTGTTTCCGAGCCGTAAACGTCGGTCTTGAGTTYGAGTCGAAACCGTCCGGCAGAGTTCTCTCCGCACGACGTCGTTGGTGCCGAGGTGGGCCATSCGTCGCTTGTAGATACCGTTATGGTGGCATCTTTGAGGTCCTCCGAAAGCGAATCCCAGCGAATGCCAACGTTGTAGATAGTGTCCTTGAAATTCTCGATCATGTGCGTGTCYCCCACCACTAGATCTGCTATCCGCGAGCTTTTCCCGGCACCATACGGCCCACTGCCCGTCTTTTCGAAAATCACCACCTGGTTGGCGGCTTCGYTAGTTCCTCGGTTCGGGCCCGAAGCTCGGTTGTACCCGATATAGTAATCGATTCCTTTTTTGTCGCCGTGCTGTTCGAGGCGCAAGGTAATGAGTTCTGGTCCATTTTTTTTGTAATCATCGATTCCATTCAATACAAAAGATTTCGAATCGCCARCAAAGTCAAGGGGATCGATTGAATCTTGTTGCGCAGCATACCATTGCAGTTGATAGTTCTTGGCAGCGTTGAAACACATGTATGGGCCGTCGTCCAAGTCGTAAGAATAGCCCATCAAGTCAGAGGTGTCGGCATATTCGTTCCCATCCTTACCGCTATGGCCCAACCCAAGGTTGTGTCCTACCTCATGGACCTGAGCAGACATTTGTTTGCACCAGTCGCCATTGTAGAAACTGGCCCAATGATTGATAAATGCGTAGGCGATCCATGGCTCGGGAGATCCGGGAGGCTGGCAGAACATAACGAAATCGAAGGTTTCTTTCAGGCCCGCTGATCCACCGTAGAGTTCCTCGGCTTTGTCCACAGCCTCATTCTGTACAGAAGTTATACCATCGCTCGACATCCTGGCACTGATCCGAACCTCCACGATGCCACTATTTCCAACATCGGCGGGTTCGATTATCATCTGACCCTTAGAACACGCTTCATACTGAGTCTTCAGATTTGCAAAATCCGTAAATACGCGTCCATKTAATTCCGACAAAGATGCATCAACTGCTTTGTTCTCGCCGTCGATGACCTTGACCACCAAGGTTCGAAATATCCCGGGCGTGGAACTGCCAAGGTTTCGCCGCAGTCTCCGTTGATGTTGGTGCCGGGGATCGTCTTGCGCCAAGGGTTTTAATCGCACCATCGTTTCATTTGAAACAACTAGCTTTGCGTAATTATTTATCATCGACTCCTCAATAATGGCTCCGCTAGCGGAGAAGACGGCTTCTCCCGAAACGATATGTCTTGACTCGAAATAGTCATTGGAGACTCCTTCGATGTCGATGATGTCGTGAACACCGAATCGTTTGGCTTGGTCTCTAGAAAATTCGCACCCCCACGATTCATTGTTCCGTAAAGGGTCCTCGAACTCTGTGTGTTTTTGATACACTATACACTCCGTGCCGTCCTCGACGAGGTGGCGGCGGAACTCATTGCTCTTCCCTTGTCGAATGGCAGAGGCAGCAGCGTGCAACAAATTTCCAACGGTGATAGCTGTCAAAAAGGCGAACAAGCCAGGAACGTTCGGCATGGTATCGGGTGTTTGGTTTGAATTTGKGTGTGTGATATGGCAAACGAGGGATGCCGAGCCTGAAAAMCTTGGGAAAGTTCTTTCAGTTTTGATCAGACTGTATTTCTGTTCGACGAAGTTAACAGGCGGCCGAAAATCGCAAGAGCACCTGAAGAATTAAGGAAAGATAACACCGTCTCGGCATCAGTGAGTAAATGTTTAGAAATATTCGTTGATATTCGTTGATAATGGACTACTGGACCTCATGTGACATTTTKGGAATATTCTTAAAAACTAAAACTATGATTTTAATTTGTTTTGAGTCATGCCCGGACTATTAAACAGTTTTTTACTCTGGTTTTACAYTTGTCACGTTTCAGTATTCAACCGTTAAGATTGACTTTGTAGCTCCTAATTTTTAAATGTGTTTCTTGAAGTGCGCATCCTCGACTCTCCCGTGATAGTGAATTCTGTTGAAAATGTTCCTGAGCAGATACCAATACCGTATTACAGTAAAGTATGAACTGTAATTTTGCAGCAAAAGCCGAAAAAGTTCGCGAAGTTTTCGGATCGCGCCC